TGTAGGAATCGGCAACTCCTAATCGGGAAAATTCGGGATTTGCGGGGGAATCCGAATTTAGGATTGTTTTTGGGTCTGGGACTATTCTCGAAATTTCAGTGCACAATGTCGAAAAATTGCGGCCAATGAGTTTTGATGAGTCATCATCACATGACCCTTGCGAAACGACTAAACGTAAAATTAATGAGAAATCGCGAATAGGTTGGAGCTTAAAGTTCGTAGACATTACGTAGACATTTAGGCTTATTGTAGACCTTTAGACCGCTACGGGTCTGTCGGAAATTGTATAAATAGGGAAGTATAGTAGCTTGCAATCCTCAGACTTTAACACAAAGGATTAAGAAAGCATAGAGGAGGATTGCTAAGACTACCTGGATCGTGGGTTTTGACTAGGGCCGAGCCAAAAATCAATAAAGGATACTACTGAGAAATTTCGTCTAAATATTTGGGCAGGGTTTAGAGTTTCTAGTGTACCTTGTGGACCAGGATTTTTGGACTCGGGGCTTTCCGGGTTTGGCCAAGGATTTGTGGAATCTTGGGATTGCCGGCCACGATCAAATCGGGATCAGGGCAGGAAATTAGGATCAGGGGTCATATAGAGTTTAGAAAAAAAGTACTGCCCAAAAGGCAAAACTGCATAGTGCAATTAAATACTGCAAACTGATATTTTATATCATGCATTCTGTGATAGTTTGCAATTTTGCATTTGTATTTTGATCTAAGCCAATGACTGTTATTCAATCAGAGACTCATCAAGTTGTTTAAAATTTGGCCAATGGTGAAAGACTGGGGCTATCCGCCATAGGCATTTTTCTTTCTAACTCCAAAATCGGAGTCAATGACTAATAAACCTGACACTGTGCTGAGTGTGCTCATCTGATTTCTACCTTTTTTAGACAAGACAAGAAGAGACTGTCACAGGTGTCACTGACATCGGACATAATGTCATCCGTCACATATTGACAGTCAGAATTTGAGACTTATAGGGGACTCGAAGAGTCACAGTGCCACTTTGGTCTGGACTTTGGAATCTGGACTAGGGGTCTGGACTCTGGAGTCTGGGGCACAGTGGCATTCAGTCTGAGGTATCAATTATCATAGGTCACTGGGTCACTAACTCTATTAGAGAGAGTCTGATCGTCCTGGGGGTAGTCAAGAGTTTCGGTCTAGTTTCTCTAAAACTTGAAATGTGTTACGGAGCATGTGTAGATTGACTAAGGTTGTATTACACTACAGCAAGATCCTACCCACTCTCTAGAGCACATGAAGACCAGTATGTAGGAAGTTCAATACTTTTCAAGTGATATAGATATTGACTAGTATGTTCTGGCTAACTTGACGTACTGGTATACTATACAGCATTGATGCAACTCTTGAAGTGGCTGGATTGGAAGTGTAGTGCGAGAATTGCATCTGGGTTTTAGTGCAAGTGTCATGAATAGCGATGCACTTGAGCCTACAAGAGATTGAAGATACAAGGTTGGACACCTTTTTGGTGAGTATATATATCTCTCCTTGCTCTTGTACTATGTACAATACAGTGCGTAGGGTAAGGCGCGTGCGAACCAGTCTTTCCAGACATACCCTTCACAGCGAGGATCCGTAATACTAAACGAATTTCCGTTTTCTTGGTTTTGGTCTATAGAAGTTATGCCACACAAAAAGTAGTGCAATTAAGTCATACGATACTAGACCTTCACTGCGTGGCACCATCGATGTGAGCGCTATATCAAAGGGTTCAAATTGTATTTGTGATAAATATAAGATTCCTTCGACTGTGCTCGACTCTGAGCTGTTTATATTGTCGTCATTCTTTAGCGTCAAATCAGTCTGCGAGGCTTATGATTGCGAAAAAATTCCGTGCAATTGTTTGAAGGCGTCGGGATAGTCG